AAACGTAAACGAAAGCGTAAAATTACACGTAAGTATGAGGCGAGCAGGAAAAAAAAACTAATGTGATACTTTTTATTGGATTGTGTACGGGTACCAGATCGTACCACTAATTTGTCATGTGCCTTTCTAGAATAGCGACTTTACTACGTATGGAGCGCCTTTCAAGGCCGTGAAAGTTTCAAATTCAGCGTTGACCAGGTTAGTAAGAGAGAAACACGATAGGTTGCGAACGAGCTGCTAGGTTGACGTCGACAAGATATCAAATTACGGAACTAGGTTGGAGAGAATCTTCTTGATGCTCTGGTCGTTTTTTTCCCTCGGGCAGCTCAGAAAAGTTTTTAGGTGACCGTAAACGTAAGGCCGAATCTGGGCGACCGTTCGTAAACGTAAAAATTGTCGTAATCGTCCGAAAACGTAAGGAACCGAAAACGTAAGTTCCAACTTAGGTGAGAATCGCTTATACGCGGCTATACAGCACGCACTGAAAGTGGCAATGCCGAAGATGACATGGCCTATAGGACAGAAAAACAATGCAGTGAGGTGATTATGCAAAGATGAGGGAAGAGGGTTGGCTGACCTCATAGTTCCAGACGAGCCACTTGCCCCCTTCAGTGAACTGGGCACGAGTGACATCAGCAGTGAAGGAGCCCATGAAGCGTGCACAGGCCTCAGGTGCCACGCGCTGCATGCGGCGGTTGAACCACTCCTCCATCTCCCCACTCTGCTCCCCTCCCATCACCCTCGTCTTCACCTGCACTCCAGCGCCAGTCGCAGGGGAGGGGACACACGGTGTGAGGGAACAAGGGGTAGCTGTCGTGCACATGGGGTCAGGTGAGATGCTGAAACAGGGGGCATGCATGGAGTGGGCGGGCGGAGGGCACCGAGGGATGCCAGGGGAGGAGACAATAAAAACAGAAAGCGAGAGAGGCACGAGGAGGTGAGAGGAAATGCAGGGGTGGAAAGAGTTTGAGAGAGGAGGGAGGGTGGTTGGGAGAATTAACCATTTTCAAACGATAAATGGATGAGGGAAAGGGATCGAGCTAGAAACAGGGAGAGGTGAGAAGGAAGGGAGGTGAAAAGAATGAGGGGGAAGGGGGGGTCTGGGCGGTGGGCGAGCAGAAAAGTGGAACGTGCATGGGACAATGGGGTACCTTTTTGAGAATGACTCGGCTCTTGATCTCGCGCTCATCGAGGTCTTCCAGCTGCCTGGACCTGCGCCCAAACTCCTCCTCCTCGCTCGCCTTGCCCTTCTTCTTCAGCGCGCCCTGCACCGCCACAGTCACGCCCAGCGGGAGAGCACACAAGGCGCTCAGCGCGTGCGAGGCAGCCATGCAATGCGTGCACAACCCTCAAGCACTCTGCACTCCTGCCTGCTCTGTCTAAGCGCCCACTGTGTTTTTGGAACCCCGCTACTGCATCCTTCCATCATGCCATCGCACAATCATGCCAAACAATGTTCGTGCTAGTCACAGCGTGGGTTTGAGTTCCAATGGTTCTTTCCATCTTTGCCACATTCCTGCACAACTTCATCAAGCCCGCTTGTTAACATATCACTGCTTCTTCCCCTCACCACTTCCCCTCCTACATCCCCCTTTCCCCCACCGCGTCCCCTTACTCACCGCGTGCACCCTGCACCCATCGTACCTCGTACACGGTGCCGAAGTTTCCTTCCCCCAGCCGCCGTCCCACCACGAAGTCCGTGCGTCGGAACTTCCGTCGGCCCCTCACCGTGTCGCTCAGCGACTGCAGCGGCGCCGCAATATACGCATCCAGGGCGCCGGCCAGCACGCCGGGCCGCACCGTCAGGTACACGTACAGCGCGCCGGCCGCCGCGAGCTGCGCAATCTTGTCGTCGGCGGGCTGGCGCATGAAGTCCTTGAGCGCGGAGGAGAGCGCGATAAGCGCGTCCCCGGGGCGGAAGTCGGGGAACGTGATGTCGAGCTCCCCCCCCAGCAGCTCCAGCGCCTCCTCTCCCGCCTCCACCACGCTCTCCACTCCCCACCTCTCGCCCGCCGCTTCGCCTCCGCCGCCGTCTCCCCAGGACAGCAGAGAGGAAGGCTCGCGCAGCAGGCGGAAGAGCGTGGGGTACTTGGCGGACAGATCCTCGCCGTCGCTGCTCGCGGGCGCTGCTAGCGCAGCGGGCGCAGAAGCGACTGATGGAGGCGCCGCGACACGGAGTGCGGGAAGAGGCGCGGGCGCAGGGCTGGTTGGCGTGTCGGCGGGAGAATCGGACTGGTTTGGCCAGTTGAGTGGCGGCAGCAAGTTCTGCAAGGCGCTCTGCAGCCCGCTCTCGAGTTCCGCTAGCTTCTCCCCTGCATCCGCCACCGCGTCTGCTGCAGCAGTCAACGCAGGGGCGGGCGCAGCAGCGGGTGAAGGTTCGGCGGGCTGCGCTTCAAGTGCGCGCATGCGGAAGGGGTTGCTCGCGCGCGCCACAATGTCGTCCGCTTCCTCCGCCGCCGTGTCGTCTCCGTCGCTGCCCTCCATGGCGCCCTGCATCGCCATGCGAATCGCATCCTCCACCGACCTCGGCGGCCCCATCGCATCCCCCAGCACCACCGCCTCCACCACCGCTGCCGCCGCGCGTACGTCCGCCGATGCCACGGATTGCTGCAGGCGCAACGACGGCTCGACAGCCGGCAGCGACACGCTCATGACGGTCTCGGCATCGGCCACCGCCGCACCAGACGGCGCAGGCGACGCATCCGAGAGCGGAAACGAAGCGGGGTCGAGGATTTGAGTTGGGAAGGAGAGGAGGGGCAATGGGAGGATGGCGGATTCAGGGCTGGATGCGGGCAGTGGCGCGACCTGGACTGCGAGCTCCAGCGACGACGGCAAAGGAGTTGGCGGAGAAAGGTCAGTCACGTCGGCAACCGCAGCATGCACGGCGAGCCCTCTCCTGCCGCGGCGCGTCCGGGAAGATCCAGAAGGCACCTGCAGCTCGCGCAACCCGCATGCACCAGCTCTCGCAAGCACGCCGTGTCGGAACCACGGACGGCTACCGCAAAAGTCGCTCTTACACTGTGAGAGCAGCGACAGTTGTCCTGCCGTCGAGCGGTGGACCGCCGTACTCGACGGCAAGGAGGCATCAGCGGCAGCCGGCAGCCATTGAAGAGATGCTGCTGCCATGGCTTGCCAAGGTGCGGTCACAATGGATCGCCGAAACAAGGTAGCTGGTCGAGTGCTGGGTAGGGTGGTTGTGATGTGAATGCAGCCAGACCATGCCTGATCTCCAGCACGCACACTGGCATGGTGCGAGGCGAGGGGGCAGTGCCCAGGAAGTGAGTGGGCTGGAAGGGACGACTGCAGGCGGGAGTGAACTGATGGACGTGGTGCGCTGCGCAGGTGCACGGACGAAGGCCAATGGATTGGCTCAATCTGGGGTTCATCCGACGTCAGCATTACAGTGTCTCAGAAGTGCCACATGGCATCCAAAACCGAGGTCAGTATTATGTATGATTTCCTTGTCACCGAGTACGACATACTATGAAACGCAGCAGCTTGTACAAGAAGGCCTTGTTGAGCAGGTTCTCCTCTTACAAGGAAAATTGGCCATAAAGTCTTAACTCTGATTTAATATTGAATCTTCGAAAAGTAGCTTTTGACAAACGCACTTGAGTAATAACCATGATTTGGTTCTTACATCTGGACGAAGTGAAGAGTTAATTCAGGGTTGAAATTGTTAATAACTAGACCAATTGGTGTCCTGGTGTCCTTCCCTGACCAACTAGAGATCATTTTGCCAGGGGAAAGAAAATACCTGATTTCTCCTTGACTCTTATCTACGATACAGTGTCGGCTGACTTGCTTTTGCAAACTTCTAAGCACTATTCGAGAACAGGAATCGCTTGTCTCGGGTATGGAGTACCGGGGTGAACATTTCCCCTTGCCTTGACATTCCACACGAGGTCATCAGCCAGACTAATCTACATTTTGTGAGATTCGGGTGGCCGCTGTCATCCTACGCACCATTGCGACTGTTCCAGAGTACTCATCGTGAAAGTTTTGGCAAGTCTGAGAGACGGATCATGTTCTCGTGAAATTCGTGATCACACATTCACTTATGTCGTCGCGGCAGCGACAGTGGCGCGGCGACGGCGCGGGCCGAGTGGACCTCGCGCGGCGTCGCCGCCCCCTGGAACCGGTACGCCGCAGCCGTGGCGGCAGAAGCGCTGGTGGCACGCGTGCTGCAATTCGCCTCTATAGAACGTGGCAGGGGTTCTTTTTCGCTTGTGATCTGATTGCGTCACGTGTCCTCCCTGCTTCATGCATCCTGCTCTCATTCGTTACCGTTGCCTTCCCACGTCATTGAAGTCGATAGAATCTCACACCACATCGTCCCCGCCTCCACCTCCCGGCGTCCGACCCCCGCCAGCATCGCGGTGGGTCAGCAACGCGTGCTCAAGGCGGCACTGCTGGCGGCGCTGGGCGCGGCGTGCTGCATCGCGTTTCTGCGCGCCGGCTTGCCGTTTCGCGACCACTCCACGCACTCAGACGAGGACTCCTTTCTCCAAGCAACTGTTCATCTGTTACCCTCGTCTCCGCACAACCCTCTATGTTTCCATCTCCTTCCCCTCCCCCTCCTCCCGTTCCATGTGCAACGCTCTCCCCGCTCTGCCCCTCCTCACTCAGCCGCACATCTGCCCCTTCTGCCCCACCTCTCCCTTCCGTTCCCCGCCTGCCTGTGCGCCCATTATCTTGACGACAGGCAGACGAGGGCGGTCAGGCGGGAGGCGTAGAGGAGGATGGGTGGCCGGTGATGGGCGGGGTGAGGTGGAGGGGGTGTGCGGGAGAAGCCAGCGCACTGCCTGCTGCCATGGGTGGGTCATTCGTGTTGGTGACTATCAAGCACGTGTGGCTGTTACTGTCACACGAGTGTAAAGGGCGTGACTCTCTCGTTTGGGACGCACCTGTGACTCGCGGCTGTGTGTTTGTTGTATCCCCTTCTTCTCTCCCGCACTCACCCTTTCTTCCATGTTCGCTCCAAGCACCTCCTTCCGCGCATGCATGCTTCCCGTGCTAACCTGCTGCCCATGTGCCCTGCTGTGAGCGCAGCAGGGAGAGGCGGGGAGGAGCAGGGGGGCTATCTGCTGGTGCAGCTCGCAGGGGGGCTCAACCAGATGCGCGCAGGGGTGGGTGGGGGGCTCTCAACCTCTCGCTCCCCGGCCTCATTCTCATGCTTGCCTCCGCCTCTGCTCTTCCTCACATTCTCCTTACTTTTGCTTTGCTGCCTTCTGCATCTACCCTACACTTCTCCCCACCCCTTCACATCCTCCTCCCTCCCCCACTTCCCCTCACCCTACCCCTTTTCCCCCTCGGGCCTCCCATCCGTCCACCCCCTGGCCCCCCCGCTGTCCCCCATGCGGGGTGCAGATTGCGGTGGTGATGGCCAAGCTGCTGGGGGCGTCGTTGATGCTGCCACTACTGGATAACTCCTCATGGTGGGCCGACGGCAGGTGAGGCCCACGGCAAGTGAGAGGGTCATAAAACGTGGCCGTTGAGATGTGAGAATGAGAGTAGGAGAGCAGTACCATTGGTTTTGGTGGAAGAACTGCCTGATCACTATGTGCCTCCCTCATTCATCCCCCTACCTCCCCCACACCACCCACATCCGCTCTTCCTACACTTCCCACCCTCCATTTTCATCGTCTTTTCACCTGAACTGTTCCCTCTTCCCCTCCCCCCCGTCGCATACGTGTTTGACGCGGGGCACTTTGCGAGGGTGCTGGCGCCGTGGGTGCGTATGGTGGACCGCCTGCCCTCCGCGCTGCGACACCGCGCCGCCTCGACCGCACCGTGCCACGCGGGTCCACCGCCGAGTACTACGAGACACGTGGCAGGGCGATGATCAGGTGCTGTGCGAATCATGGCAGGTCGTAAAAAAGAAAAGCATGTGGTGTTGCTGTACGCATGCTTGTGGCAATCGTGCTGATAATGCTGCTGCTGATGACGGTGGCACGGAGTCAGTGAAGCACATGATAGCAGTAATTAGGCACTGCTGTTCCTCCTTGCTTCATCCACCCTTCCTATCCTTTCGCTGCTACCGCATCACTCCCCCCTGCCTGCTCTACTGCTTTCGCTTACCTATCTCATGCCTCACGCTCTGCTCTCTCCCTTCCCTCCCTGCCCCCCTCCCCACTGGCAGAAAGGCGCAGGTGCTGAAGCTGAACCATTTCGATTCCAGGCTGCATCACGAACTACCGCTGGACCTGCACAAGGTACCGGCTCAGAATTCTGTTCGTGTTCCAAGACTTCTTTTTTCTCCTTTCCATTCTTTCTTTTCGAGTGCGCTTATGAGTTCAATGGTACAGGTGCTGCGAATACAGAGATTGCCACGTGTTCATGTTGACTAATCTTGGGTGCTTTGGCGTGATTGCACGTTGGTAAACCACATGGCTTCCTACCTACCCCTCTCTCTGTCCCCCCCATCGCAGTTGCGCTGCATGGCAAACTACGAGGTGCTGTGCTTTGTGCCGGCGGTCACCCAAGCCGTCACGTGCCTCACCCACGCCCTCACCACCCCTCCGCCACGCCCGCCTCCACTGCCCCCCACACTGCCGCACATGCTGCTCAGGCCGGCGGTGCTGCAAGAGCAGCGCAAGGCGCACAAGGGCAGGGGGGAGAGAGAGAGCAGGTGGAGGGAGGGATGCAGGCGAAGGGGAGTGGCAAGGCTGTCAAGTACGGTATGTTTTTGATTCATCTGAGGTGAGGCGGACATGGGGGTGACCATGACATGGGCATGGGACGAAAGGGGAATGGATGGTGACCTCTGAGGTTCTTACTATCCTGCGACCGGTGTGATTAACCTCACTCAATTGTGGCATGGCCATTCCCTTTCCAGTGCCTTCTGTGTTTCTTCGCCACCTTTTGTATTCAAGAGACCATTTGCAAGTTCCATCTGTCTCTTGCCAAGCACAAGTCGCCATCCATTCAACTGCACATGGTGCAATCAACTCATCCCATGTGCTCCCTCCATGCCATGCCATGCACATGTTGCGTGCCATGCGGCATGGCAGGTACGAGCCGGACATGCTGGCGTTCACAGGGTGCGAGTATGAGGGGGGCGCGGAGGAGAAGGCAGTGTTTGACTCCATCCGACAGCGCTGGGCCAACCTGCCCGCCATGGATGCCGAGAAGCAGAGGGCCAAGGGCGTGTGCATCGTCACCCCCTCCCAGGCATGTGCATCGTCACCCCCTCCCAGGCATGTGCATCGTCACTCCTTTGCATGCCATGCCATGAGCCACTGAGCACATGGGCAACTGTAGGCGGCATTGAGGTGCAGCATTCTCTCTACCACTGTTCAGCAACCCACTGCCACAACCGTCCACCCTCGCTCCTCTCCCCACAACTCTCCCGCTCCTCGCGCCTTCCCCTTCACCACGGACAAGCACTCCCTCGCACACTCCCACGCCATGGCCCACGCCCACACACGGGCACGGGATGACGACGAGGATGAGGGGGATGAGGCGTGGGGCGGGGGAGAGGGTGGGGGTGGGAAAGGAGGGGTGGGTGCGGAGGGCGGAGGGGCGTTGGCAGGGGTGGAGGGGCGCAAGACGCTGCTGGCAGCGGTGGACTATGAGATGTGTCGGGGGGTGGCGCTGCTCGTCACTAACAACAATGGCAACATGGTCCACCTGCTAGCGGGCCACAGGAGGTGCTGCCTGGGGGGAAGTTGCTGACTTGAGAGCATGCGAGCTTCGCAAACCTTTTGACTGCTGCTTGCCTTCTTTTCTCTCCAAGACAAGCCGACATCTCCCCCCCCTACCACAGCAACTCTCTTCCCCTCCCACTCCCTCCACTTCTTCCCCACCTCATCCCCTTTTCCGCCCCACGCACCCACCCCCTTAGGTACAACGGTGTGGGTGGCATGGTGCACCTCTTTGGCTCCTCCATCCACCGCCTCCTTGCTGCCATCCAACATGGGGATCACGAGACCTTTCAGAAGCTTCGCAATCGGCTGCTCAAGGGCGACCTTAGCACTCAGAGGGTGAGCAATGAGAAGGCTGTGGCGAAAGGAGGGTTTTATGCGTTTCCACGGGATTGTTTGTGTGGTCTGATTCTCTGGTTCCCTTCCGTAGGGTTACCAATTGATCATTGTCATGCAGTACAACAAACAGTTGCAATTCTCCTTGCTTGCGAGTGAGCACATGCAGTGACACTCACTCGCCAAAAGCTTCTGGTGTCACCTAAAAAACCACAAGTCCACTGGCTCACAGGTGCACACCGGCAGTGGCATGCACAACGGACCTATCCAGCAGCTCTGTGCTCACATTTCTCATCAGCAGTGCCCACAACTGGCTCCACACACGGTCAAACAGGGGTTCAAGCAGTGGTGGCATGGGAGCATGGCAGTGCATGGCTTGGGTCATGCAGGCGCTGGTGTTGGGGAGGGGCGCTTGGGGATGTCGCCCAGGGGTAAGCAGGTTCAGGGTTCAGGGGGTGAAGGTTCTGGCAAGAAGTGAGGGCAGGGTAATGCAGAGAGAAGAATATGAATGTGAATGGAAAGCTATGCAATGCAGGTGACCATGTGCTGGCGTGAATGAAACAGTGCGGTGGAGTTACGCGGGAGCAGCACAAAATGCAATTCATTGATCAGAATTGGTATCAGCGGATCAGTAATGGTACTCACATGCACAGGGGCAGGCAGACTTCATGCCTGGTGTCAGAGCGGCCGTCCTCTCACATGTACCCACACATGGTAGTTATGAGAAGACGTGCTTGCTTGCCATCACGGCCACGGCAGCTGGCGTGTCAGCGAGTGCCCGCATGGCATGGCTGGTGAGCTGGCGACAACGGTTCAGCCCCAGGCCTTGCCGCAACGGGCCGAATGCTGCAAGCGCCAATACAGATGCGTGTGACGGGCGCATGGAATGGGAGGTGCGCAGGGCGAGAAGATACACCAAAGCTTCTGAAACGTCATGGTGGCATGGCATGGCATGGCTGCAGTACTGGGTGCTTCTGAGACGCCCCAAAACAAGAGGGAGGCGAGGAAGGAGAAAAGATGCACCAGTACTTCTGTAGCGTGACGTGTGGCATGGAGTGGTGTGCTGTGACTCGCACGGTGTAGCATCGAGGGGCGTGCGGTGCCATGGAGTGCCATGGGGTGGCATGGAGTGGAATAGAGCGGCATGGAGGGGCATGGAGTGACATGAAGTGACATGGCTGTAGTAATGGGGATGGAGCAGACTGTTGTGAGAGGTAGGCGCACGAGGGGAGGCTGGCATGCGGATCGGCACATGCAGAATTGTCGATGCAACGCCATGCGTACAGCATGTGCCTTCTTGAACCCTGCTCTGCTCCCCACTTCACAGCACCCCCACTCACAGCTCTTGCTGTCACTCAGTTCCCTCCTTCGAGGAAACCACTCCAGTGCGAGAGAAAGGTGCACGTGCAATGCGGTAGCAGCCGCACGGATGGATCACCCTCAGTCCCCCCCACTCCCTGCCCACTCCCGCCACCCCTTGGTCGGATACCACATGGCTTGCCCACACGCGCACACAACCCATGGACTGCACTCTTCCACAAGCCCCAGCAACTGTGTTTCCCGTTGTACATAGTGCGCAGCCAGGCTCACCGTCATGTTGTCGCCCTGGTGGAAGTGCAGCGCCGCGCCCACCAGCTCCTCGCTGAGGGCGTACGGGCGCACAACGGTTGTGGACAGCCCGCAGGCGCGCACGAGGCCCTCCCCGCGCAGCTCCCGCGTGAGGACGCCCCGCAGCTCATCATTTATGCGCACCGCTGGCGGCACGGCGGACGGCGGGGGGCAGAGAGGAGACGGGGTATTTGAAGCACGCCGGAAGTCGCTGGGAGGCGGTCGAGAAAGTGAGTGCAGGAGGTGACGCGAAGCGGCAGGAGAGGAAAGAGGATACATACGAAAGGTATTTCAACGAAAATTGGACCCATCGAAATTACCTGAGACGAATAGAGCACGAGATCGCGACAACTACTGGAGATCGAAACTACCCGTGCAGAAGGTTTGATTCGAATAGAATCCGTCTCAGCGCAAGACTCTGCCAGGTGATACAAACCCCCCATTTCCAGCTGTGTGGCCAGGCCAAGCCTCCGTGTATATTGGAGGGGGGTAGATAAGGAACATGGGTTGGAGGGCACTTGGTGGTTGTGGGCGATGATCGGCATTTTCGATTTGACCTGAAAACAAACAGGTGTGGTCTGATTGGTGACATTGTCGGGGTGACTCGGATGCCTTAGGGCAAATCGAAGCCAACTGGCGAAGGGCGGGCAAGAAAACTGGACTGTACATTGGTCGGTCGAACCTGTGGGGAAGTAAGGTGGGTAACCTGGCTGGAGCAGAAAAACTCGAGTGCACTGGAGGGTTAGCCTCGCGTTTTTGAGTTTTTATACGGGCCGTCACAAAACATTTCGTAGTTATCACGAGCAGTTACATTTCCCGCGAAATCTATCATGAACGGTCTCATGTTCCGCCACATCTATCACGAACCATCACATGGGTATCACCCGCCGTCACTGAAAGGCACTAAATTTGGGAAATTATACGCGCAGTCACAATTTAGGCCGTATTATCACGTTTGGTCACGGGGTTATCACGGACAGTCACAGTACAGTACTTCGCTATCACGTGTGATCACAGCACTATCACGCGTGGTCACACCTCGCCCCGCAGGGTTATCACGTTTGGTCACTCGTTGAAACGCCCGCCAAAAAGTCGAAACTCTCAAATCTACTGTACAGATTCGGGTACTATTATCTCGCGCGCGTTTTGTCTGTAGTGAAAAACGTGATATGACTGTCGAAATATACTCGGACCTTGTTAGGGACCGATGCAGTTTAATGCACAGTCCGCATGTTGCAGTGAATATAAGCGATCAATAACAGTTTCGATTATACATTTAGTTTAGGGTGTGCATTTCATCCATAAAACAAAGACATGGGTTTAGGTCGAATGATTTAAAAAGTGAGAACATTGAAATCATTCGAAAACCATACAACAATATGTGGCATATGATTCTTGAGTGGGGACTACAAATTTGAGTCCCCACTCAAGAATCATATGCCACAGATTGTTGCATGGTTTTCGAATGATTTCAATGTTCTCACTATTGAAATCATTCGACCTAAACCCATGTCTTTGTTTTATGGATGAAATGCACACCCTAAACTAAATGTATAATCGAAACTGTTATTGATCGCTTATATTCACTGCAACATGCGGACTGTGCATTAAACTGCATCGGTCCCTAACAAGGTCCGAGTATATTTCGACAGTCACATCACGTTTTTCACTACAGACAAAACGCGAGCGAGATAATAGTACCCGAATCTGTACAGTAGATTTGAGAGTTTCGACTTTTTGGCGGGCGTTTCAACGAGTGACCAAACGTGATAACCCTGCGGGGCGAGGTGTGACCACGCGTGATAGCGCTGTGATCACACGTGATAGCGAAGTACTGTACTGTGACTGTCCGTGATAACCCCGTGACCAAACGTGATAATACGGCCTAAATTGTGACTGCGCGTATAATTTCCCACTAAATTTTCTCACAGGTAGTCACACTCGAAACTTTGCTATCACAGATGAGCCCTCTCATCATTTCGTTGACCCGCCTTGTAATACTGTACAGATTTAGGGACTACACATGATGCTCACCCCCTGCACGCGAAATTGCCTTGCACCTGATGGAAACCTTGCACCCGCGGGTTTTGTGCCGTAAGGCTGCACCCACGTTACAAACACGTCAACCAATACGAACCACAGAAACTGAAGTCTGACTGAAGAGAATGCAGTCAAAAAGTCAACGGTGAGTTACAAATCTTTTTATAAGCCCTTTTTTCCCAAGACGAATTGACGAGACCTCCGCGAAATGCAGGAATCGTTTATACGCCTAAAAAGTAAGGCAAGGTTGGGGGGCTCAACCGGGCATCGTGTGTATATTTCGGGTTGCTGGTTTTTGTCTTGTATACGCGACCATTTTGAGTGCAAAGATACCTGGTTGCGTTCGATTCGACGTAACACACTTTAGTTCAAAAAAACTTATGAATAAGTTTGAATGCATATATATATCGCTAGAGTTCACAATTAATTGAATCTGCTTAAATGTTTATCAAGATGTGTATACGCATCTTGATATATATTTCGGCATGTGAACCTTCTAATTTATGTTTTTTTAGCATCTTGATAAACATTTAGGCAGATTCAATGAACTGTGAACTCTATAATATATATATGATATATATATGCGTTCAAATTCATTCAAACAGTTTTTAAATCTAACGTGTGTTACTTCGATTCGAACGTAAAATGGTCGCGTATACAGAACAAAACCAGCAACCTGAAGTATAGTCCCTAAATCTTTACAGTGTCACAAGGCGGGTCAACGAAATGATGAGAGGGTTCATCTGTGATAGCAAAGTTTCGAGTGTGACTACCCGTGAGAATTTAGTGCCTTTGAGTGACGGCGGGTGATACCCGTGTGATGGTTCGTGATAGATTTGGCGGAGCATGTGACCGTTCATGATAGATTTTGCGGAACATGTGACTGCTCGTGATAACTACGAAATGTTTTGTGACGGTTCGTATAAAAACCCCGCGTTTTTTCCCAGGCATGAAAAGCCACGCCGCATACTAGGGAGACTGCACGTGCCAATCAGCGCGAAGCACGAAACTCGAGTTCCAAGTTCCAACCCTAACCTGCTGCTTCAGCCACTTGAGCACCGTACATCCCTTGGCCTCGCAAATCACGCCCTCTTGTACGCACCTTTCTCACATAGCTGTTGTGAGCTTCTCGTATGCTGGCTCTTCCCTGTGTTTCATTAGCAAAAGCTGGAACCTTAGATTCTGGTAACTCGTACACGAAGTTCTAAGAGGCCGCACCCGCTGTCCAACGTACTGTGTGTTAGTCGGTTGCGTGAGGCGCCCGTGTGACTACTCCACGTCCCAACCGGACCTACTTGTCAGTGTCATGTGGTCAAAGCTTTTTTCGATACGATGAAAGAACACCAGTTTTCAGTTTACCTGGAACTCTTTTCTCGCACTCCTTTCCTTTCCCATCTTTCTTTAGCTTACCTTTCCAAACCTTCACTTAATTGGTTAACCGTCTCTTTCTTTCTCTCTCGCTCTCGCTCTCACCCTGAGGGTTTTTTTCGCCGTAACTTCGTGCAATGTGTGTTTTCTTATCTGTTTCGTGTTGCACCGCAGGCTGCACGTGGTGGGCGTCGTTCGGCGCGGTGAGCGAGATAACACGGCGGTTACACGCAGCGGGACGTACCCATGGACACGGGCACTGGCGGCGGGCCATCGGGGATGGACATGGGGCATGGGGGCGGAGGCTTGGGTAGTTCCGGTGGAGGGATGGGGCACCTGAATGCCGGAGTGCCAGGGCTGCCGTTCGGCGATCTAATGAACCAAATATCCGAGTATCCTCCGAAGAAGTTCGGCCATCGTCGCGTGGCCAGCGATAGCCTGCAGGGCTTTTGTTTCGGCAGCGGCGGCAGCGGGGCGGGCAGCGACGCGATACTGTCGGACGACATGGACGTGGTGGCGGCGGCGGCGGGAAAGGGCGTGCACATGGGGAGCGCCATGGAGCACGCGCTCTTCGCCGACATGGTCGACATGGGCGGCCTTGGAGGCACTGCCTCGCTCGCTAACCCTTCTGCTGCTGCCGCTGCTGGCGGTGCTGCCGGAGGGGGCACGTCGTATCAGGCCGGCCATCACCGCGCGGACAGCGCGGGCAGCGGAGGGGCCGCCAGCAGCAGCGGAGGCGCGGGAGCGGTTGGCGGGTCGGCTGGCGGAGGTGGTGGCGTTGCGGGCGGGGGCAGCTGGGCTAGCGGGAGCCACGGCAGCGGTTACGGCGCGCAAGGTGGCGGGCAGACGGGGGCAGTGGGGGGCTATCATGGCGGGCATGCGGGACATACCGCAGGGGCGCGCGGGGCTCCAGGCGGCAGCGGTGGCGGCGGAGGGCACTCGCGGAGCTTTTCCGTGGACGACGCGTTCATGTTCAAGGCGGGCCCCATTCGGGACTCGCTGAGCCCCATCTGCAGCCCGCTCAACGGCAGCAGCCCTCTGCGCCGGGGCGGGCGGCGCGCGGACGGCGGGTTGTCGATAAAGGACGAGGTGGACGAGCTGGACGACGAGGACGCCGTGCGGCGCGTCATGGCCACCAAGAAGACGGCTGCTGACAACGAGGTCATCGACGCCAAGAAGGCCAAACGGTACGCCAAACCGTAATCTGCCAAACCGTGATTTGCGTTGCTGTTCCACAGGAGGCGTCACGGCCCAGAGGGAAGAGTGGAAAGGCAAGCTTTGCCCTGTATTCTCGGACCCGCATCTGCTTGGATAACTCCTGAAGTCTTTAGGCACGGTCAGTTCTATTGGGTGCTTTGTGAATGTGGTCACAGAGGTCGTTAATTGGTGCAATGGACGCGTCCTAATGCCGTGCTCTGCCTTTCACCGGGCTCCGGAAACCCTTTTCCTCTGCATACCTCGCGTGGTGCGTGTGGCCGTGAGCGCGTGCAGCATATTGGCGAACCGGCTGTCAGCGGCGCGGTCCAAGGAGCGCAAGACGAGGTACATCATGGAGCTGGAGGAGAAGCTCGCCGCGTACGAGAAGCAGGCGCACGCACTCAAGGCCACGCTCTCCATCCTGCAGGTCGCCCCTCTCGCCTTGCCTCCTCGCCGCAACTTTGTTGCTCTGTAGTTATTTCCCGTTTTTCCCCGTTTTTCCCGTTCCTTTTTCTATTCCCCCCCCTCCCCACACCGCACTACTCCTCGCCCTTAAAGCACACGCTTGGTTGTATTATGGTAGTTTAGGGTTTCTCGCACGGCTAAGGGGGAAAAAGACAAACATGGATGTTTTGTGCCTCATGCCACACGCTTCACCCTCGCAGAGGGAGACG